TTTTCCAACCCAGCCTCCTGAAAGCCTGACAATGTTTGTATTTCTCAATAACGTTGTACTTCAAATTTGGCACCTTGGTTTGGAACTGTTTGCTTGTCGAGCTCAATTCCCCAACGTAGACGGTTCCCAGCTGCTTTATCAGCAAGGTGACGAAGTTGATATTTAAATTGTGGGAGTCTAAAGGTGAGACTCGACTGATTCCAGGGAAAAGAGAAACTAAACACATCCCTCCAATTTCCTTTCAAATAATGTACAGTATCCAGATTACTGAAGTGTAAAACGAGCCCAAGGTTTGGTGACCTGGTAACCAGAAGTTGTTAAAGCTGCCTGTTGTGTGTGGATAAGCTGGAGGACAAACAGGAGTTTAAAGTGCCGCCGAGGAAGTTGACTTGAAACAATTTAATAACGTGTGGAATTTTCATACAAAAATAAGGGTGATGTGAAAAAACAATTGATGTTTATTTCTTTGAGTAATTGACTTCAAAAGATTGGGATGTTGCTCTTATTCCCCTCTGTCCTGGAACTACAAACTTTGCATCTCAAACGGCACTTACACCGTGTTTTGCTTGGTGTTTTAGTGCTTTTAAGGCTTCCCTTATTTTGCCCTATAAATAACCTCAGTTTTGACCTGCAGGGAACATCCTTTGTGTGACTGAGATGTGACTTAGGCTGAATGCTGGTTTTTAGCCTGGGCCTGCCCTGAGCCAAGACCAACAGTGGTGTGAAAGTGTCCGGGTGAATTTTGCGGGATTGAATTGAGGCGAACGCGTTACGTCGTGTTTGGAGTGGGAGATCCAGGGAAATTTAAGCCATTTGGAAAATGCACTTCTGCACTACCGAAGCTGAATGACTAAAATTATTTGTTTGAGCAACTTTCTGTGCCTTCTCTTGGATCTGGCTGGTGATTTAGCACAGAGGGACCTCCTGAAAACAGCAGTGGGGTGTTCGATGAGCGTGTGTTTGTGCTCACACAGAATCACCCTTGTGCACAGGTAGATAAGCAGGTATCATCCCAGGGATTTACCAACTCTTAACCTCTCTGAGGGCATAAGGGAGAGATAGGAGAGGATTAGACTCTCCCAGCCACGTCTTTGGGTATTTTCTTTGTTCAGGTCACCTGTGGATGTCTGTGCTTCCCCAGAGCCATTCCACATGTCTTCTCCATAATGCTCATCACTCATGGGACTGTTCCCTAAGTCTGTGTCTGATATCTCAGGTTTTTCAGGCATGTTTTTGTCTTCTGTTAAATAAAAAGAGACATCCTAATCTGTTAGTTTACTTGGCTCTTCTGACCAGAAGCTGGTGCAGATGCTCCTCAGCTGGACTGCAGAGGAGGAGGCTGAGGGCTGCCCACACCTGCACTTTTTCTCTTTCCTGTTACACAAAATCTTAATGTGAATCTGGTATAAGAGAGAATTATGGCTGGGCCCAAACAATGTTATCTGACCTTTGTGGCAGCCTAATGGATTTTTTTCCTTGGTGGACAATTCCTCCTGGTAATTCACACTGCCTTGTTCTCCCAGTGATTGCTTGTAACATTTTCCACGGGAATGATAAATGGCTTCTTAGCAGAGCCTTGTTACCTGCAAAATTGATTGGAAATTGTTTGCTGCTGAAGGTTGAGGTGCTGCCTCGTTCAGAACTTCTCTGCTGGACGGGTGAAGGATTGTCCTGAAGGAAGAGGGGGCTGAGAGCAGCCTGTCCCTTAGTGCCTGTGGACAGACTGCTCCTGGGGAAGTGGCCCTTGAAAGAGCACTGGTTAGAAATCTGCCAGAGCTGTTCATAACTCTTCATTCTGCCTTCTTGTGGTACAAAACTCTGCCTGGAGAGGTTGGTATTGTGAGAGTTTCTGGCTTTTTTGGTGATTTGTAGTTTGGCTGCTCAGTGACACATCTTGGTTATCAGCCCTGAGGGGTTTAAATATGCTCAGTAATCTTTTGTCCCCCCCACAAGATCACTTCAGAAGGGAATGTACAGTTGTGTGGATGTACACCTATGCACATCAGATTAAAAAAATAAATGATCACCCTCTCCTCAGCTGTACATTCCAGAAGTTCATTCCTTGCCCTGGAGACATGTTTGAATGCAGCTACTGGCTCTCTCTGAGTTCTACCAGGCCCTGGATAAGTGTCTTGTTGATGGTCAGGGATTGCTGGGGCCTGGGGGCATGTCAAAAGGAGACTTGTTCAGAGCTGCTGATTGATCAGGAATATCGACTTCACTCCATCATTTATTTCTCCTTTCCTTCCCTAGGAACCCACTTACTGTACACAACACCAAAAAACCAGGAGCCTCTTTCTACCCCAGCATAGCTGGAGGCAGGCAGAAGTTAGTGAAATGTTATTTTATCCTCTAACAACCTCAAAGGTTATGTTTTTGTTGTGACAGTGAGGCTTGATTATAGTAATTCTTGCAACTCGAACCTTGAAGTCGGACATCTCTCCCAATCTCCGAAGGCAACGGGGCTCTGGCTGCTCTGATCAGCACTTATTTTATCAGAGAGCTCCCTTCTTGTTTTCAAGTGGCTACCTACACACTTGGAGTTTTATTTTTTAAATTGGCAGTGGATGATTTCAAACCTGAGAACAGTTGGGTATGAATTATGTACAAGACACGGTCCCAAGGAAATGGTTACAATCTGATTAATGCTTGGATGGGGGGAATGCTGCTCTATGGCTTTGACCTTCACGTTGCATCTGTTAGATGGGGAGCTGCAAGATGCATCTTTTTCAGTCTGGTGTCTATTAAATTGGGTTAATTTACTTCAAAAATTAAAGAGTTTTTCTTTGTGCCTGTCATACATGGAGATAATCAGTTTTTGTTTGCTGAACTCTCTCCCTCCCGTTTGTGTGGGGGGTGAATGTGTACAAATAATGCTGGTTGGAGGAGAGCTTGGGGGAATCCTGGTGCTTGTCTGTGGGTCCTGTGGTACAAACAGCAGCAGAAATGGCAGCAGAGACTAATGTGTTGTGTAGTTCTTGATACATGTGCATTATAAATCAAATCCTGTCTCCAAAAATCTGTGAGTGGTTGGACTGTGCTGATGTCAGCACCGAGTGTCTCGTTCCTTCAGTACAATGGAACCAGGGGCTGAGCCAGTTATCATTCCCAGGGGCTGCACAAACCCTGCCAGGTCCAGGCAGTTGGCAAAGGGAATTTGGAAAACAGTTCAACCAGTGGTGCTCTTTTAAAATAACAATTGCTCCCCAAGACCCTTTAACTCCTAAAAAAAAAAAATAATTAAAAAAGAGGATGCTTTTCAAACCATCCTGCACCTGAGGTGAGCACAGAGAGCTCTGTGGGAAGGATCTGTGTGTCCTGTGCCTGTCAGGAGAGGCATTCCCAGTGTTCCTGCTGCTGGTGCATTGATGCTTCAGCATTTCCTCAGTCCTCCATGTTAGAGATGGAGCCACTTCAGGAAAAGTGCAGAGAAGCATTATGCAAAAATTGCTGAGCAGCTTGAGCAAACTTCTGGGCCTTGGGGTGAGCAGCAGCTCAAAGGTGACAAAGATGGAACTTTTTTCCCATTTTTCCTGACCAACGTGACTGTGAAATCCCTGTGGAGGAAGGTGAAAATACCTTGTGCCAGGAAATGAGGATTTGGCATCGTGTCACGTGTGTTGTGTGTACAATGTCACATACATAACATGCTTGTAGAAATAATAATGAAAGATTTAACAATATAGATACACCTGCATGTGGAA